CTCACAATCGCATCTAAAACAAAGAATGGAATTCATACTCTGCTTTCAACCACTATCCTAAATCTTCCCAGGATCCACTGCTCAACCAGACCCTTCACTACACCCTGCTCCACCCAAGCAACAAGAATAGTTGCGTTCAAGATTACATTAACCAGTTCCAATCGAACACCTCTGTGTGTGTGTCACATTAGGTCCTATAGAGAGTATCTTGGGGAAGCCTCACAATCAAAATGTATGGCAGTAAATCCCTTTCCTAATCCCATTATACAGATGAGGAAACTGAGACTCAGATAAGTAACAAAGGGTCATGCAATTTTCTTAGAAATGAGAGTGGAAGTTGAATCCCAGTTGTTCAATCACAGAGCCTCTTCTCTTCACCACAATCCGCCCCGCCCCCTCCCCACTCCCTGCCACACGCCCATACTCATTGTTTCCTCCCAATTGCTGTTGATCCTCCTTAAGCTACAGAAATATATTGCAGGTTGTGATGGTCCTAGTGGTGGCAGCAATAACTAACAGAACGCCTTGAAAATTCTTTCAGGTGCTTATCACATAGTAGTCCAGTTAGTCCTCACAACCATCCTATGATGGTACTTCGCACTGTCCACTTTTTATAGAATAAAACTGAGGCTCAGAGAAGCTAAGTGATTTTCTCCCAGTTACATAGCTGGAAAAGGGAGATCAGGGGCTTGAAAACAGGCAGTCTGGCCCCGGATAATATGCAGCCCTTTTTACATCTCTCTCTCTGCAGGCAGAATCTCTGGAATGCACGGTGGCAGAAACCGAGGCCCAGTACAGCACCCAGCTGGCCCAGATGCAGTGCCTGATTGACAACGTGGAGGAGCAGCTGGCTGAGATCCGCTGCGACCTGGAGCGGCAGAACCAGGAGTACCAGGTGCTGCTGGACACAAAGGCCCGGCTGGAGGGCGAGATCAGCACGTACCAGGGTCTCCTTGAGAAAGAGGACAGCAGGCAAGTTCCACACAATCATTCTCAAAATCTCCCCAAGTCACAGAGAGTCTTATGGAGGAGAATCCAGTTTCCCCAAGATCCGGCCAAGGTCAAACCTCTCTAATGTGTTAAAGCAGTGGTCGGCAAACTCATTAGTCAACAGAGCCAAATATCAATGTACAATGATTGAAATTCCTTTTGAGAGCCAAATTTTTTAGACTTATACGTCTTCTAACGCCACTTCTTCAAAATAGACTCACCCAGGCCATGGTATTTTGTGGAAGAGCCACACTCAAGAGGCCAAAGAGTCACATGTGGCTCGTGAGCCGCAGTTTACCAACCACGGTGTTAAAGGATCTTCTTACAAGAGTGATGAAAAGCAGCCAATGCTAATCACATGACCATAAAAATGTTCAAAAATATCCTAAAGTCACAAAGCAGAATAAATATCATTATATAACTCTTCACGCTGGGGAGTGGGAGGGAATCTGCCTCCCATTAAAGGGAATCAGGAACATGCATAAGATGGCATTTGCAAAGTGAAGCAAATATTTATTCAACTGCTGCTGCTACTGCAGCAAAATGAAGTGGCAATACTGGGTCCGAGAATGACAGGTTAAGTCAAACATTATTCTTCAAAGAGTGTCGTTCAGAGCATAATCTGCAGGGCGAATCCTGGCATGATTTTTTGGGACCTGCCATTTTATCCAGCTTTCCCTGTTAGACTTAGTTCCAAATGGATTTTCCACAGGCTTCCCTGTCACCCATGTTCCACGACAAGCACGTCAAGCAGCACGGGAGAGCCGGGCCCGGTGTATGTGCTTTGCACGGTCGAAAACTGCTGTGCATGACTGCTGAGCACCAGCCCGGCCGATGGAGGGATGAAGCCAGCAGGGTCCTAAGAAGGAGATGGGGCTTCAAGCAGGAACATCCAAACTTGAAACTCGAATCAAGAAGGCTTTCATGTCCTAAAAGTGTCCTCTAAACATCCTCAGTACATTTCTGCTTTGTTGTTTCCTCATCTGCCTGCTTATTTGTGATATCGTAGGAGTTTGTAAAGCTTTCTTGCTGATGTCCAAATAAAATGCATTTCATTCTTTCAGCATGGTAAATATAGCTTTGTGGCTTATTACTGTTAGTATAATAACCATTTGATGCCAGGGTAATTGTCTAAACCCATGCCAATAGTTTAATATTCCATAAACCCAAGATGAAAATATTTTTTTAACTCCTCAAATGCAAACATATTAACTAATCCTTGCAAAATGTCAATATCATGGAAGACAGCTGTATGGAACTCTTGAAGAGGAAATTTAGAAATAAAATATAACATTTTATTTTTAATGATAAAAGTACTAAAGTCCTTTTTTTTCAATTTGGCACATGAAGGGAGAGGGGGGACCATTCATAATTCCATACCCTTAACACTGATTGTAAGAATCTTGGGAACTTCCAAGTTTTTTTTTCTTATGTAGGTTTTTCCGTATACTGTAGTAGTATCAGTTATATACACATCTACTTGTGTAATCTTTTTTCCCCCAATAAGTCATCTAAGTATTTTCAATCCTAATAAATGTATAAGATCATCTTGTGGACTATTATTTTAGTGACTTCATAAAATACCATAAGGTACGTTGGTCTGTTATTGGACATTAAGCATATATGAATAATTATTCTTACACATATAAAAAGCAAAGGAAAGAGCATCCCTGCTTTCCTCCTGTGAGGCAGAAAGACTCCCAGGAATGCCTGCTGCCCCCTCTGTTGACCTAAATCGGGTTCTACATTAATCATAATTCAACATAAGCACAAAGATGAAGTAGAGGGACATTTCCTCTTTCCCCTCCTAAGTATGACTAAAAACTGGAAATTACATAAACAAATATAAGCAGACTCTGAAAGGTGGAAGAAGAGACCAAACCATCTAGGGTTCTTGATATCCAAGGAACAACATGGTGCTGAGTTTCCTGGCATTTTTTTTGGGGGGGGGGGGGCCTTTATTTTTGTCTCCTATATCCAGTATTGGGAACTGGAGAAATCAAGAACTGAGAAACACCAGCAGTTGCAGACACAAAAAGAGAAAAAATGCTCCAACATTGCCTGCCCTTACCCCTCCCCAAGCGATACAGAATTATCTCCCGACTATTGATAGTTTATCTTTTCCAAATTGATTTTAAATTTCACATTTTATCATATACTAAATCCCAGTCTGCTTGGGATTTCTAAACTGCTTATTCTATACCAACAGCCTGTCTATTTATGCATCCATCTTATTTTAATTACTGAGGCTTTAAAATATATTTTAATATCCAAAAAGACTAGTTTCTCTGGGCTTTTTTTTTTTTTTTAGAATTTTCCTACCTCTTCAAATTTGTTTACTTTTTCTCATAAAACTTCAGAATTATCTTGTCTAAGTTGAAAAAAGTCACAGTTTGAGAGGACAGCAATAAATTCATTGGGCTCTCAGTTTAATTAATGTAAAAATATTTGGTGTTTTTATAATGAAGAATATAGCATTTCAGGTCAAAAATATGATATGTCTTTTTTTTTTTAATATATTTTATTGATTTTTTACAGAGAGGGAGGGAGAGAGATAGAGAGCTAGAAACATCGATGAGAGAGAAACATCAACCAGTTTGCCTCTTGCACACCCCCTACCGGGGATGTACCCGCAACCAAGGTACATGCCCTTGGCCGGAATTGAACCTGGGACCTTTCAGTCGCAGACCGATGCTCTTCAACTGAGCCAAACCGGTTTCGGCAAAAAAAATATGATATGTTTTTATGTTTTTTCTTTATATCATTTGATATGCAGAACAATGGGTCCCCAAAGATGTTTATGCTCTAATCCCAGAACATTTGAACATGTTAGGCTATGTAGCTATGGGGAAGTAAGATTGCTAATCAGCTGACCTTGAAATAGGAAAATTATCCTAGATGATATGAGTAGGCCTAATATAATCAGAAGGGCCCTTAAATGTGGAAGACAGAAGCTGAAGGGTCATGTGAGAAAGACTAGACTGGCCATTGCAGGCTTTGAAGATGGGAGGGGGCCATAAGCCAAGGAATGTGGGTGGCCTCTAGAAACTGGAAAAGGCAAAGAAACTATCCTTTCCTAGCGCCTCTATAAAGGCCTGGGAGCTAATAAATTTCTCAATAAAATGCTGAGTAAGTATTCCTGAGAAAGAACACACATATCTTTCAACAGATCATATTTAAACATCAAATATAAACCAAGATGATCACAAAGTTTACCTAATGTAATACCACAAGCAAACACTGAGCACAAAAAATGTTATCAAATGTGGGCTTTGGAGAAACCGAAAGGTAACCAGCCTCTTTGTCAAGAAATTTCTCGTTAGCAATCAAAACCTATCTGGAAAGCTAAGACAGAATTCTGACAACTGCCTTTAAAAAGAGCCTTAGTTAGTAGTGACATTTTAATCCATACTCACAATAAAAATGGGAAAACATTTTTTCAAAGATGAAAAAGAAGACCAGAAAATCGATTGGGCAGAACAAAATAAAATACTGATTTCTAAATTCACACCAAGAATTATTAGATAGTAATAGTTTCCCTTTTCTAGAGAAGAAAGGAAAAATAAATGCTCATTCCTGGTCCTGGTGGAGAGGTCAACAAGGACTTAATGAATGCAATATGCTCATTCCTACTTAATAATGGATGCTGTTAGACGTGTGACGACAGCTCCTTTTGAAGAAACAGTGTGAAGCTCTGAATCCAATGACAGGTAGTAGTTGTGATGGTAATAACTTAGTAACAGCCTCAATGCACATTTTTATGAGACCAGGTAACTCTTCTCAGGCGAGTAAAAAGCAGGCTAATGAGATGTTCCTGTGGGATTCGACATACGCACCAGACAGGAAGACATCCTGTCTGCTGTGACACTGCCTCGAGGAAAGGCTATATAAGCACTTCAAAGAAGCAAAAGCCACAAAAGGCTCGGAATTTAGACTCAGTCACAGTAAGCTTAAACTTTTGATGCAGGGGAAACACAGACTTTGAACTAAACCAAAGCCAGGCACACACTATGGATACCAAGGACTGCTCAACAGCTATTTCTTCTTCAACACCATGCCAAGGCTGCTCTAGGATTACAAATTCTAGGATCATCTCTTCCAACACCAGCTGCCAACCACTTGAAACCAACAAATGCCAACCAACTGGCCGTGTTCTGAGAACTTGGCAGTCCCAGGGCTGCCAACCCACTCCTTGCTTCTGCCCTATGCCCATCTGCTTAGTACACAACATCGATTGTGGCTGGTGTGGTGAAGGCATCAACAGCAATGAGAAAGAGACCATGCAATTCCTGAATGACCGCCTTGCTAACTACCTGGAAAAGGTGCGGATGCTGGAACGAGAGAACGCAGAACTGGAGTGTAAAATCCAGGAAGAGTGTAACAAAGAGCTCCCTGTCATATGTCCTGATTACCTGTCCTACTTTGCTACCATCAAGGAACTTCAGCAGAAGGTAAGATTCTTGGCAACCTATATATTCAAGTTTTGAATTTACATTCTCCAATTTCTTTATTTCCTTTTATGCTGAAAAATATTTTTATAGAATAAGAAAATGTCTTGAAGGAAATTGTCATCTTGATGCCATATTCAGAGTTATAGTTATAGATTTTCATTTTCTAGAGATATACTCTGCTATTATTTTAACCAGATAACTCAGGACCAAAATGCGGGAACAATACATTGCTTGCTATTTCTTTAACAAAAATAAGAAAATAGGGATCTGAGAAAAATCAATTTTGTTTTAATAAGTTCCTACCTAGTTTAATTTTTGTCCATGTTTTCCACCATCACCACTTTTTCTATTTTATGCTCATTTCTTCATCTCCCAAGTGTTTAAGTAGTTTTTTCCCTACACCAAACCTAACTTTTCTATTCAGAGTGAAATGCTGCTAATATATGTGCTGGATTTATTCTGCTTCATTGGTTTTACAAATATTTACTGAGCATCACACCAAGGCACCAGACATGATTCTAGCTTAGGGTACATACTGGTAAACTAAAATGTCCCTGCCCTCATGGATTTTACATTCTGGGGGGATCATATATGTTACACAAATTCAAGGTAGATTTTATATTTTAATGATAAAACATTGACAAGGTTTTATTAAAGTAATTTTGTTTAATTTTTAGGAAAATAACAAAAACCTTGATTTTCCCAAGTTGTTCAGGCTTTCTAAGCATAGCTAGGAAAAGCTTAACTAGCCTTCCCATTAACTGAAATACACAGCAGCCCCTTGGTTTTTAAGGAAGGGATCTTGGTGTTTGTCTCATTTGTGTGTACAACTTCTTAATTCTAGATCTTGTGTACCAAGGCTGAGAATTCCAGGCTGGTCTCACAAATTGACAACACCAAACTGGCTGCTGATGACTTGAAAGCCAAGTAAGCCCACCCAGCACTGTCGTTCCTGACAGAATTCACACAGCATCAGGTGCTAATACCCTCAATAAGATCATACATGAGTCTACCAACCCTCCTGCACCACCATGAAGGCACTAGCTCAGAAGAGACCTTCACATTCAATGAAGCGTTACAATTAATAACCACTCGCATGTATACAGTGCTTGTATTTTCTAACATATAAACTCGTCTGATTACCTTCCCAGTAGTTCAGTAAAATAAGTAGGGCAAATATATTGTTACACTACTTAAAATGAGAAAACTGTGATTTAATGGGGTTCAGTTACTTATGCAAAGGCATACAACTACCTGTGTTTCCCCCAAAATAAGACATCCTCCAAAAATAAGACCTAGCGCATGGAAAGATAAGACATCCCCTGAAAATAAGACCTAACACAACTTTGGGAGAAAAATTTAGTATAAGACACTGTCTTATTTTTGGGGAAACAGGGTAGTAGTACAAGAAAGAGCCAAATCTTGGGTGCAAATTCTCTTAAATCCTAATCCAATACTCTGCACTTAAATGCATCACTTCTAGGGGCAGGGAGAGGAGGATAAATGCCCTCATCTCAAAGAAAACCAATGTAGCATCACTCTGGCAAAATAATCTAGGAATAATTAAGTGGTGATGTTTATCTAATGATTCCACCTCTAAAGAGAAGAAAACCCACATGAGAAAGGCAGGCAATGAGAGACCCACAAGGCAGTTAGTTCTGCTTGGCTTGATTAACACCACCTACATTTTAATGTCTTTTACTTCTAAAAATGTCTCATTGTCAAAGGTATGAAGCTGAGGTGTCCCTGCGCCAGCTAGTGGAGGCAGATGCCAACAGCCTACGGCGGATCCTGAATGCACTGACCCTGGACAAAGCTGACCTGGAGGCACGAGTCCAATCTCTGAAGGAGGAGCTCCTTTCCCTCAAAAGCAACCATGAAGAGGTTAGAGAAAGCCCCAGCTAAGCCTCTTAAAATAGCATCGGTCCCTTTGAGTTGAACTTGATAAAGGGTGTCCTCTCTAGATAGTCTTCTGTTTTTTAGCCCTGATCATAACTATTAATATTACCACTGGTTCATTGTAGTTCACATCAGTTGCGTATAATACAGTATCTGAAACCGCCATTGTCCTCTCCAGCTTTTCTAAAAGAAGAAAATAGCCCAATTTAATTGTCCTTACAGGTTTCCCCTATTTTAGTAGACATCCCTATACAGATTCCGAGCACTACTTGTGTAGGTCAATATTGGCATAAGCCCACATTGGCACCATAGGGACCACAGCCTCGCATTAAAGCCTACCTCTGTGCGGCTTCACCCCCTTATCCGTCCCTGAAAATGATCTAAATTCTTTAAACCCCTGATCTTGCCGTCAATTCCTTTTAATGTTGCACTTACTTGAACACACAGTCACATCTGAAATAGCCTTAAGTCATCTTATAGCATCTCAAAAGCACCTCTGAATCATGTATTCCTTTATTGTGGGCTATGGTCCAGACGTGACTAAGCTACATTACTGCTGTTAGACTGAAACAGGAAAGCAAGGAGGTCATCTGTTCACCAATGACTGCACACTCTCTTTCTTTCCATAGGAAACCAATTCCTTACAGAGCCAGCTTGGGGACAGACTCAACATTGAAGTGACTGCTGCCCCCTCTGTTGACCTGAATCGGGTTCTACAAGAAATAAGATGTCAATATGAATCTATCATGGAGACAAACCGCAGAGATGTGGAACAGTGGTTCAACACACAGGTGGGGAGGGCAGGAAAGTCAGAACCTGTGAGCAGACATTGCCCTTCCAGGGGCCCTTTAATTAAACTTATGTTTTCCACCATCATATCCATGGTCCTTGACTGTGTTTCAGATGGAGGAGCTGAACCAGCAGGTGGGGACAAGCTCTCAACAGCAGCAGTCCTGCCAGAAGGAGATCACTGAACTGAGACGAACCATGAATGCTCTGGAGGTGGAGCGACAGGCCCAGCACCGAATGGTACCCAACCAACTGACCAAGCCTAGCACCCTATATGGCAATAGCTCCTGACACGTGTGCTGCAATGTTTCCCAAACTGCGTCCCTCAGAACAATAGTTCTTCTGTTTGTTAAAGGGTCTATGGCCAAAGAAGGACTCTGTGGTCAAGTAAGCCTGGTAAATGCTGGATTAAACAAAGGTTAAGCAGGAGGCCTTCCTGCAGGCCTTTGAGAAGCTGATATGTACCATGAATCTCCAAGAAGGGAATACATGGTACTCAGCATTCCAAAGCATACTTGACTGTGGACTTCTTTTTCAAAGACTATCTCATGGCAATAGTGCTCCATGAATGCACTTTGGAAAACACTAAAAGGGAATTTTATTTTATGCAAAGCATTTTTATAAAGTATCGAAATTTATAAAATAATCTTCTGAGGGAGGTGGCATAATTATTAAGCCAATTTGACATGTGAGAGCTAAGGTGATTTTCCCAAGCCAAATCCAATATAAATTTCATCTCACCAATTTTATAGGTGGAGGAGGCACTACGATCCTAAGGCATTAAGTCATAAAAGAATTATGAGTCTGAGCCAGAACTCAGGTTCCCAAGTTAGAACTGATTCCACCACCTACTAACTCTCTGAAGTAGGAAATATCGAAAAGCTCAGATAGGAAGAGTATTAGGAAGACCTTCCCCAAAGCTGCTTTTGTCACCAGCTGGTTATGTGTCTGGGGCAGCTCATTTAACCTCTTGAACCTCAGTTTTTTCACCTATAAAAATGGGAATAATCATGCAAGTAATAGGTTATTAAGATATAAAAATGCCATTATCCATAAAACTTACAGAATGATAGAGCAGGAAAGAACTTTAATCATCAAAGTTTCAACTCTCATATTTTACATATAAAAATTGATTCAATGATCAACTTACAAACTATCAAAATGTATAAAGTAGTTTTCTGAGGGAGGTAGCTTAATGCTGCTCACTTCCTTTTTAAGGTACAAACACACTTGAGGTACCACATAATGGATTTTTAATTCCTAGGTGTGAAATAAGTTGGAGTACTTTTTTCTCAAGTGTGGTTGGAGATTATCAAGTGATTAAGAAAGAGAAAGATAAGTAGCACTTAAAAGGAGGCAAAAAAAGAAAGAGAGAGAAGCAAGCTTTAGCATAGTTGATAATTTTGGTTTTGGATTTAGTTGGTTAGGACAGTGGCCGGCAAACTCATTAGTCAACAGAGCGGCAAACCGTGGCTTGAGAGAGCTGCTGTTTGCCGACCACTGGGTTAGGAGATGGTAAGATGGCTTGAAGATTCATTAGCACCTGTCACAAAGAAACCACTGTTCAGAATGGTACAGATCTCAAAGACCTGGGCTTAAAGGAGTCATCATGCTAAATGCTGCTTTCCCCCTGTGAGGCAGAGAGACTCCCAGGAGTGCCTGCTGGCGGAGACGGAGGCCCGCTACACAGCCCTGCTGGCCCAGATGCAGTGTCTGATCGATAACCTCGAGGCTCAGCTGGCGGAGATCCGATGTGCCCTGGAAAGGCAGAACCAAGAATACGAGGTTCTGCTGGACATCAAGTCCCAGCTGGAGTGTGAGATCGCCACCTACCGCAGCCTGCTGGAGAGCTCAGACAGCAAGTGCGTAATGTACCAACATCTTTATGAAAAAGACACTTGCAACATGTGTGTATGTATGTACTACCACTGGCAACAGGGCGACAGGGCTTTTATCTGACCAGTGATGGGAGCTTTGGATCAAAGGGTCCATACACTCTCTTCAGCTGTGCCGTCTGGACATCCACATAGTAACCTACTCAAGCTGAGCTTAATTTTTTTTTGAGAAGTTGGTGCTCCTGGTTACTTCCTTATAGGTTTTAACTTATTACACTTTTTAAAATTACTAGGGGAGAATGTGGTTTCTTTAAAGATGAAGATTCCTGACTTATAGATTTTCCCCAGTGAGATGAACGTCTGAATGTCATGAGATTGAATGGTACAACCCTGCTCCCTTTGGAGGAAGCTGCTCAGGCTGAAACCCTTATCCTTGTCCAGCCACTCTCCCTTTGTGCCAGCAGCATCATGTACATACGCACTTTTCAGCATATTTTTATAGAAGTTGTAATGTTTTTAGATGATAAGAAGTTTACCAGCCTATAAGAAACTGACCAAGAGCATGAGCTCTTTGAAGCAATCCAGCACAAAGGCAAACTTAGGATTGTTAAAAAGACCTCCCTCCCCAAAATAATCAATGAACTCTGTCTGTAGCATTCTTTTAACTGGCACACTCACATTGCTAACCAATGTTAACCAATTCTACCACTTTGGGGAACTATAATATAACAAAGAAAGATGTTCTGACTGCTTCTAACTCCAATTCTCTTAAAAATATTCACTTATAAATACACCCAGAAAGCGCTTTGGAGCTTCCCAATGAAGCACTGAGAGTTCTTCCATAGATGGGGTTCAGGCCACCCACCAGTAATGCATACCTTGATTAACTTCCTGATTTAAAAAAAAAAAGTATCTGGTTAATTTCCTTTTCTCAGATAATAAGCTCCTTGTCTATTATCACTGTTGATTCTGTAAGTTTAGTTCCCATATATCCATTCTGCAGATGAAAAACTAAATCAGGAGGGTTGAGGACACCAGCTGATAACAGCAGAACTGGGCTCTCTCCCGTCTGTGGCACCGGGTGTAGTGGTCTTCCATGGTGCTGTGGCATTGCCTGTACCGGAAGCTAACATAATCCAATACTTCTGAACCTAGGATGCTGCTTTTCCATGTCTCTGGTCTGATTCTTTTCCTTCCACCAATGATAGTACAAAGTGAGACGACGGGATAAGTATTTTGGAAGTATTTGTCTTGAGTGACACGTGTTGAAAACTTAACCACCGCCATTTTTCTCCAGAGCCAGTGTTGCCTTACTGCAATCACAGGTACAATTCTGTTTTTGTCTAGGCTTTCCTGCAACCCGTGTGTCACTAAGTGTGAGCCTTCAGTTTGCACAACCATGGAATGCACTGTCCCAGTTTACACATCATCTTCAGCTCTCCAGGGGATACCCCAGCCTAGCTGCGCCTACAGAGACCTGCCCCGACTACTCGCTAAAATCCTGACCATCACCAAGGAGATTAAGGATGGGAAAGTCATTTCTTCTCATGAGCATGTGCAGCCTTGCTTCATCATCAGAGCAGCCAAAGTCTAACATCCCACAGTGATGAAAGTGACCCTCATTCATGAAAGAGAGGCCAATACTTGTTCCTGCCAGAAAGGTTTAAGCATTCCCCTGTCCCTTCAGGTACTTAGCTTCTTTCTACTACAGTGGGTGCCCATTGACATTCTGCTTCTGTCCAAGTCTCTGCGGCCAACATGATAAAAAAAAAAAAAAAAAAAAAAAAAAAAAAAAAAAAAACTGACATTCTCTGGAATCCCATTTCATATTTATCCAAGGAACAAGCACTGATTTGTAAGTGCCCAGGAAGGTGACCTACATTACTGCCCGCAAGTGATGGGCAGGTTTCTCTTTTGTTTATTCAGGTCTTATTTACTTGCGTTCCTCCTTAGAGCCAGTCAGACAAGTTCTGGGATTGTTTTTGGCTGTGGCACATGAAGGTGAAAAGCTACAATCTTCCCTTCTTAACTCCCTCTTTGGATGTAGAAAGAAGCTTCTATGGGAACAGCATGAATAGAGAAAAACATCCTTAATATTTAGTTTCCTTGAATAGATTGTCATGAGTCTAAGTCCTATTGAACTCTGTTGTCTTAATTACTATTTACCCATGCGTACATATTTTATCTTCCCCAAGATATTTTTAAAGATGTCCATGTTCTCCAAAACTTTGGGGAAACATTAGGTTCTCCAAATATTTTCACTGAAAATTGGGAACAATTATGGGGAGTGGATCTAGAGCATTTTGAAGAAATAGCATGGATCCTCTCATTAAATGTTTGCTATTTCTCTTTCTATTCTTTAGGGAATGGGATTTGGTTCTGATTGCTTTACAAGGGACATGTAGCTGGAACGCTCAAGACATAACCCTGCTCTTCTGTGTCCTTGTGATGGGTCACTATGGAAAAATAACTTAGGTGCCTGCTTCAGTCTATCCACCAGAGAATGGAATTAATATTCACAAACTGTACCAGAAAGTAATCAGGAATAATTGCTATTTGCAAGCACGAGGCAGTCCCAGAGTGAGAAGTCCCAGCCATTATCAAAGCTTCTCACAGTCAGGTCACAGAGCATGTAGGTCATTCCCTATGAAAGCTACTTGACATTTCCAGAGGTTTTAGTAAATAATTCTGAGTCAAACACAGAAAGGGGAGTCAGAAAGTCTGAAGTCCTAAACTTGCCACTTCCTAGGGCAAACATTTAGCCTTCATCCAATTTAATTTCCTTCTTTGTTAAATGAGGATCATGCCTACTTCACACGGATATTATGAAGATCAAATGCAATTGTTTTTAGCCATGGCTCTAGGCCTCTGTCATTATCTTCTCAAGTTAAAATTCTTTCTCCATGAATTTATCTATCCAGTCATAATTTTGAAGTTTTAACAGTGTTTGGCTTTGAAGGACAAAGAATAGAACAAGCTCCCCTGTGACCACGCCCACAATTTTAGTCAATAAAGCATTCTTGAAGTCTTAGGATATGTATCAGGTATCAGTTGATGACTGGTGCCCACATCAAAGACAAAAGCATTAACTCACAGCTCAGCAATCCACTCCCTCCACACAAGTAACAACTTACACTAAGCAAGTGGAATGCAGAACTTCCAGGGCGATCTCTTTTCTATCAATAACTTCTCTCTCACCTGAATACCCAGGTTAGGCCTGGTAGCACTTACCTGCATACTATCTCAAAAAGGAGGGTGGAAATGTGGACAGAGCAGGCAACTTGGAGGGCAGAGTCACAACCGAGCCGTTGTGGGTGACCTTGAATAAAAGGGACATAACAATGTGGGCCCTGCCTCCCATGCAACTGGAAGGGTTAAATGTGATAATGATGGTGAAAGGGTTTTGTAAGCTGTAAAGTGCTCTGCAGAATGGAGTTTATTCCCTAATTTGAAAGCCAGGCATATGGCATTTCTTTCCATGCCATTTTCTTTTGTGTTGGTTCAATAATGGCACCTGGTGGACCCCATACATACCATCAACAGACTGGGAAATCAATGGGTGAGAGGCCAGAGCTGCTCAGTCTGCTCTGAGTTTTAATTCCAACAGGATTCAGGGTTTCAGGGCCTCGCTGGACTCAGATTAACCTCAGGCTGGTGCATCAATGCCACTGTCAATCTATCGCAGAAATAGGACATCTTCCTCCCACTTGGCAAAGCATCCCACATGCCTTCCATGATAAAAATAAACTACAGACTTCATAGTAATGAGGGGGTTCTGACCACTCAGGTGTATAGATTCTTTAAATGTCTTCTCTATGTAAGGAATGTAAAGCCATCTGCTAGACGTGGTAAATGAGTGTTCAAACAATGAGGGGCCCAGATTTTTACCAGGAAACTAAACCAGTATCCTATGCAGCCACAGGAGGGAGTGAAAGGTGGGGTTTTTTTTTTTTATATATGTACACAGTTCAGCAAAGGTCAGCAGCTAGAAAAGGAGCTGATGGAGAGGGGAAGGGGGGAGTCAATACAAATATAATTTTAGCAAAAAAGACAAGTATAAATCAGGACACAACATGGTCCCTGGAGCCTGAGTTCAAATCCCACCACTGCTTTTTCTCTGTGAGTACTCAAGTGGGTTACTGAACCTTTCTGAACATGGCTTTCCCCATTGGCAAAATAACTACCATCAGATCATTGTGAGAATTAAATAAATAAAGTATGTAAAGCACTTAGAGAAGTATCTGGCACACAGCACATATTCTATATACATATATACTAATTCTTCTTATAAATATTACCATTATTAATATAAATGTAACACCAATGCGAGCCTCCTTGGGAGACAAGTGCTATAGAGTGCAATAATGCCATTATTATTATTGTTGTTGTTATTATTAATAACAATAATAATAATAACAATGATAATAATAATGGCTGCAGTGTGCTGAGCATCTCCTATGTATCAGGCCCTGGACAGTAGAGCCTTTCACCTCACAGCCTCTCATCCTCAGCACAGCCCCTCCCATAAGGCACCTCTTTTTACTCCTCTCTCCATACAAGGAAAGTAAACCTCAGACAGAATAAATGGCTTTCCCAGAGCTAGACAGTGACAGAGCCAGGACTTGAACCCAGATCTCTCTGACCCCAAACTCATGCTCTTAAACACCAGGACAAATTACAGACACCTGAAACCAAGGCATCCGCGAGTCCCAGTCCTGGAAGGCAGGTGTGATGCCAGGTTCCCTCCTCCAAGCACGGAAGTCCTAGTGAGACACTCACTGAGCACTGACTCCGTGGAACCAGGCGGCCTCTTGTTTGCTTGACTCGAACGGAGAGGGATATCAGCACCCACTGGTGTTTATAAACAAGGGAACTTATTTTCTCTCCGCTTTGTCTTTTTTCATGTTGACTCCACCTTCATATGAGTCTGGTTTAAACCCCTTCGTACAAAGGGGTAACCTTACTTTGACTTCTCTCTTCCTCTTCCTCTCTCACCCATTCACTGCACCCCCACCCTTATACATGGCCCACGACCTCTCCATCCTCATCCTCCAGGATCACTCCATCATTTTCTGCTTAGAAGATGCTGCCCGAAGATTCTCCTCAAGAGTTTGGTCAGTTGTAACCCCTCACAGTACTTCCCATCAGAATTTCTCTACTCAGCCCAGAAACCACCTACACCCAAATCCCCTGGGGAGCTTGTAAAATCCAGATTCTGGAGCCCTACCCCAGACCACCCACACTACCATCTCCAGGTGTGGGGCCCAGGAATCCAAGTTTTAACAAAATCCTCAGCTAAAGTATGTGTGCTGAAGTAAAAGCCACTGCTTTCTGATTGGTTTAAAGTCCCGGATGACTCGGTGCCTTTTTAAGGTTCTTTTAGATTCTGACATTAGCCTGAGAGATGACCACACTTGCAGCTGATTCTTCCCCTACTTGCCTAATCACCTGTTTATAAAGTGGGGTGGTAAATCGATAAGTTAATAATTATTACAAACTCATTTAATCCTCACAACACTACCATGAAGTAGCTACTATTAATATTCACATTTATAAGATAAGAAAACTAACAGAGAAGTTAAATAATTTGCCCAATGCCACACAAAATTTAGACTGAATGTTAAGTACTTTGATTTCCTTAGCAAGGTCAAAAAAATGTACCTGGTACATTATATAATCAGTCTCCAAGAACAGAAACAGTATTGTTATCCACGGTCACAATGCTGGACAGCAGATCTCTAGAGCTTATTCGTTTTGCATAACTGAGACTTCAAACCCCTTGATTAGCAACACTTCCTTTTCCCCTCCCTCATGCCCTCATTAACCCCTACTCTATTCCTTATTTCTATGTGTTTGTATGTTTTCAGATATATCGTGTAAGTAGGATCATGAATTATTGTCTTCCTATAATTGGCTTATTTCACTTAGCATAATATCCTCAAGGGTAACCCTTACCTTACCTCCATGGCCATTAGAGAAGCAACTTAACTCTACTGACCCAGAAGACCTAGAGAGAGAGGCCACACTTTGGGCTGAATTTCTCCAAATCCCTAGAGCTGGTTGTAGAGAACTGCCTGTCCCCAACTTGTATGCAAGAGTAGGAAGGTCTTCTTTCTGCACCCCAATGGGGAATAAGTGTTTGTCAGCTCATGTTTCACTGACCCATCAGATGAAAAATAACTGTGCCGCCCCTCACTGCCACTCTCCGAGAATCCGCCTGCCTTCCCACCTGTACCCCCAGCAAAACTTTTGTTGGTGCAGAGCAAAGTCTCAAAGTGGAAAGCAAATTAAAAATTATAACCCATTTAAGAGGACTCTATAATTTGAGGGAGAAAAGAAGATGAAAATTCAGAACAAGTGGCCTCTACTAAGGCGTTAGGAAGAGCCAGAAAGGAACTTTAACCATCTCCGGTCAAGAAGCAAAATCACATGCTGATTAAGAACAGATACTTGAAGCTAGACCAGCTGGGTCTGATTCCTGGCCCTGCCACCTCTTGGTGGGAGATCTTGGGCAAGTTGTTTAACCTCTTTATCTCCATTTCCTCATCTTTAAAATGAGGCTATTAATAGCATATACTTCATAAGGTTGAGTTG